TGAATTTTCTTGATAACATCATCTGCCCATCATGCTTGTAGTTGGTCTCAAATTGCTTTCTGAAAATTGGTACAGGGTTTGGATGCACTTGGTTTAGCAACTCTTGATTCATTGACTTCTGTGGCTACAACAAGCATACCCTTTACTGCTTCCTCCTCATTCTCTTTGATGACCAAGGAAGACATGATGAACTTGAGAACATTGCGCCGCCTCATGTTTTTGTTGTCAGGTTCTGAAAGTGATGAAAAACCCTTTAAGGTGAGAGCCTAAGCATTTGGAACGTGATGTTAGATTATATTAAACTGTTGACAAATGAAGGGGACAAAATAAATGGCACGTTTACTTGTCTGTGACGCAAGTACACTTGTTTTTGCTTAAATGAAGATATTGTGGTCTTATAAATTTTCTATATGAAAAGGCAATGGAGCAATATGAGTAGAGAATTAAATTATATTTGACCTGTGAAATTTTGATGAAACTTTCAGGTAATGTCTAAAATGTGTTTAACAAATGAATAAGTTAGCGAGGTCAACCATATTTGATGTATTATGGAAATAGAAATGATAAAAAGAAAACTAAAACAGGGAAAGACAACCAGAGCTGGCTCAATTTGATGTAAAAACAAAATAACTAGGGTTTAGCGTTGTAGAACCTCAAACAGAATATTCCAATATAATGCCACTGCCTAATGTGTCTGAAAGACTATTTATTCAATGGTTAAAGCAGCTTTTAATTTTAGCACTTGGATACTCATAAACCAATCTAATCTTAGCCATTCAAACTTATTAAAATATCACATGCTTATCATATTACCACTTAATTAAATAAAAACATTACTTAAGTAAAACGGTAAAAATAAAGGAGCATGTTAATATACTAATTTAGATAAGTTTTAGAAAACTTCTGCATCAGCATTATAAGTGCTGAACTTATCACGAGAAAATGTAATCTCAGATGGTAAATAATAGCTTGCTTAGATTCGTCTTAGCTGAAAATTAGCTTAGATAATTGCAACCTCTTTGTAAGCCAAGTGTTATATTCATGGGTTTTTCAACAGCAAATAAGTCCTTTTTGTCAAAAATAAGTTAAGCCAAGCATTAAACTCATGGGTTTTTCTAACAGTAAACAAGCCCTTTTTGTCAAAAGAAGCTCTTGGTATTTATTGGATTCTCGGTCAAATAATTAATTAATCATTGAATTTTTCTTATATAAAATACTTTGATCTTTTGTTTTTACCACAGAGCATCCTCAGTTATAATGTAAGACTTTTACATGGTCTGTGAATCTAATCTCTTTAGAAATCCTAGCTGAATTACTATTAGCTAGTTTTCAGAGTCATGCTAGATTTTATGTAGTCTTTGAATTTTTAGACTTACTAAAGTCGATTTTAATGGAGATTGAGTTATTAGGGAACTGCTGTTAACTGAGTGTTATTTTCTGTGTTTCTTTCTTCTTTTTCTTATTCTTCTTGCATGTGCAGTAATGCCTTTTACTGTTGACATCAACAAAAAGAGCCATTTATCATAATCAATCCTAAGCCCTACACCTATTGAGCCTTTAATCAATTCTTTATTGTATAACCTCTCGCTAGAAACCACTTAAAAACTATAATCATGAAACCCACTTACTAAACTTATTACCACCGCAATGGATCAGCAATATTGATAATATTGTGCCATTGTGCCTTATTCATAACCCTAAAGTCTGTAAGCTTAGGAAAATGAGATGCTTGTATAGTTTCATTCCATCTTGTATGGTCTTCCTCTCTTCCCTTGACAAGGATATCCTCCACCGTATCACATCTTTTAACTCTGCCAAACTGCTGCTAGAAAATCCACGCTCTGAACCCAGCTTCTAGCTACTTCTTTTTTTAAGATTGATGTTAAATTAAACAGTCATTGAATCTTACACCCTAATTCTACTATCTATAATATCCTCAGTTGGACCCCCACAATAGATTAAAAAAGATTCCTCAGATGCACCCCATATCACTCTCTCTTCTTTTATCGTTTTATTTTGAGGGAACGTTTGAGATTTGTTATAATGAGTAAACCTATTCAAATCAAAGATCACTTTTCAAAAATAAGATTCTGTTTCTAATGTGGTTAAAAATGAAATTGAATATGTAGAATTGCAACTTTATCTTCATCAGGAACGCAAGTAGGTTTATACTTGTATGATAATTTTATGCACTTGTTCATGAATCCAAGAAGGTTCATACTTCTGTGGATTAAGTTGTTTTATTATTAAGCAATCAGATCCTGCACACTACCTGGAAAGTTGACCAGCTAATACTGTCAAGAAGTGAATGCAATATCTCATAAAAGGTGAAATGGTTGTGGTGTACCTTGTGCTGCCTATACTGTAGTGATGTTAGTGCAGTTAATTTCTTACTGTATTGTAGGATAGACTGACTTCATATTGTTATGTTTTAGGAAGTTAATCAAGTTACGAGCCCAAACCATAATCAAAGGGCATACATTGAGGAAGAAGCATCACTGGTTTCCTATCAGCCTGCATCAGTTTCAGAAATTCTGACCGTTCTTTCTATTATTCCTGAGGTAAGCATAAGGAGCAGACATGTTTTATAACAACTATCCTTACACCAATTAAGTCATTTTTTTCTGTTCTTTATAACCCTCAATCACTGTTAGCCTGAAATCAATCCAAATTCAAAACAGTTGTCATTTTCCTTGGCTGCCATTCACAGACATTGTTCACCTCCTTTTAACTATTACCAGCTGTTTTATAATACAATATCATGCAGTTCTACTGTAATGATTTAACTTTTTCCTGCAATACCTTCTTTGAATTGCTGCTTATGACTTTTCTAGAATTAGCTTCCTTATGATGATAAAATGATTTATAACAGAATTCCTTACGTAGATCCACACTGCCTTGAACAATAGAATTATTTAAGCTGCTTTGCTGCATCTTTTGTTTGTATGGATATTCTGCACCCTATTCAGTTATTACTCTAAACATGTGTGGCAGCTGCCCCCAGAATTGCAACAGCGGTTGCTTCGCTTACCAGCTGATCTGGCTGTAAGGTTGATTTCCCGTGCGTCTGCCAGGACTATCCAGAGGATCTTTTTATGATGTCAAGTCGTGATTCCATAACAAGCACAAGTAAGAGCTTTTCTTGATTTGTCTCGACTGGTTGAAACCACATACGGGGGTTTGTGAAGCAAGGTTGACACACACACACACACACACACACACATATATATATATATATATATATATATATATATATATATATATATATAAAGTCAGAATGGGTGAAGAATTTGGGGTCATATTGACATGTATATTCTTTTATTTAAATTCTCATCCCAATAGATAACTTTTTCCAGAGGATCTTTAAACTTGAAAGTTGAAGCTGATTACTGGGAAAAAAGTGCTGCTGGGCATCATGGGAGAAGATTACTAGTCTCATGGTTGTCATGTAAGATTCCAATATCCAGGTACATATAAAATAGTGAAAAAATTTTAAAAAAATCACCAGCATTCCTACTGCAATTAGCCCTTGTTTTGATTTTCCTAAGTTAATAATATATTACTACTTTTTCTGCCTACAATGGCTGTATGGTAAGTGCCCAATCCATATGAGTATCAAGTGTCCTTACTACTTAATGGCGTTTTCTCTTTTGCCACTTTTTGTTCATGTATGACACTTATTTCTTATAGTTATAGTTGTTAAATCGTACATGCAAAATAAAGAAAAAAATTTAAAAATATTATATTTATTAATAAAATTGGAGATTATAAGATATATATTGAAATAATGATTGTTTTTTAATTTAAACTCGTAACATGTTCTTTAATAATATAATATATATATATTTAAATAAGATGTATAAAACATGTTGATATTAAAGTTTTGATTTTTTTTAGTATCTTTAAATTTAAAAATTGTAATAAGGAAAATTAGTTTTTATCATGTTTTAACCCACTATAAAGAAATGAGTTTTGAGTAATTGAGTAGGATAAAATTTATAAGACATTCAAATCTCTGAATTATTTAAAAAGATTTAAATATGTTTTTATTTTTTTATTACATTTAATTAAGTTTTATATATTTTAATTTTGAATCAAATAAGTTTTTATAACTAATAGTGGACTAATTATCATTAATTAAAATATCATTGTTATTTTATGTTCAAATAATGTTATATAGTTTTAATATAAGGGGTAAAAAATATTATATGATCATGTTATCATATCATATCAACGTATCATGTTATCATTTATTATGATATATCAATATATCATGTTATTGCTTTATGATATAGAATGACAAGTGACATTTTGATTTAGTTAACAATTAATTATAAAAGTTTATTTGGTTCAAAATAAAAATATAAAAATTTATTTAGATCAAAATAAAAATATAATTAAAAAAATAAAAATTTATTTAAATAATTTAAGAAATTATTCAGATATTATGTCAATTTACAAAATGTGTATATAAATTATGATATATATGGCATATCATATGAAACAGTTTTGATATTTGATCAAAATTATATAATTATCGATATCAATTTTTGTAATAATATTAAATTTTTACTGTAAGTAAGAATGTAGATGTCTTTTAAGAGTGGTTGCAGCTTTGCACAATAAATCATGCAATGCCTGGTGCAACGTTTCACTTCGGCTTGAAATGTCCCAACCCAACCATGAAAAGGTGAGCTCGCAAGGAAAAGATGGAGTTTATACTTGTTTAGAAGATCTCCGTAGCTTTCAAACAGATGCAGGTTCATCCACTGGTTTCACTCCAATTGGGTACCACCTTGCCAACTCTTTGGGTTTCAATCCAAAACCCTAAATGCCATTGATTCTTACCTAAATTCCCATAGCTAAGGGAGAAATGGGTAAAATGAATGAAGTTGGATGCTTCAATGATCAATCAAAGAGGAGAGATAATGGCACCACGAAAGGATTCATTTTTCATGGAAAATACTCAGACCACCTCCCACCCTCCAACCACAAAAATCTACTTCAAACCCAAGGCTGCATTGCTACCATTGCCTAACATGAAAAAGTGATACAAACATAATCAGCAAATACACACGAGATTAAACAGAAAAGAAATCCAGCAAGCTCTCTTTTCAGGCTAACAAGAACATCACTTGACCCAAGGTAGACCCACAGGCACCAAGTTAAAAAGGCAAAAAGTACAAGTAACATGTGACCAAAGGTCAGAGATCATGAGAAGATAAGGCAAAATTTTCTTTGTTTTCCTTCTCCCATATTCTCGTAACCATCTTATAAAATGTTACATTAACGGTACATGCTGTTGCTTATCAAATCTAGAAGTGTTATCTTCTGAGAAAAATAATAATCAATCAAAAAGCAGGGTGCTTCTCCTTCCAATAAGTTTAAAAAAATTATGGAAGACAACACTGTTGCATCGGAGGTCTGCCTGCTATGATGGCTGCATCTGATCTTGCCGAAGTGCCTGTTGGAGTTGAATGACCTGTTGCCGTTGTTCAGGCGGCAATGAACTTAGCTGTTCTGGTGTTAGGCTTAGCACTTGCTGCAGTAAGGTGGACTCCACTTCTGGTGCAAGCTGTGGCTGACAAAGAGAAACAGTGGTGTAAGTTCCTGTGAAACCGCAATAGCACTGGCTGGTGCGACATGAATTATGTGATTATTATCAAATCAACCATTTTGACCTACGAATTGCACAAAATCATCCTAAATTTAAAGAAAAATGCCAAGTATTTCTCCTACAGATATGCAAAGCATTTCTTTCAAATTGGCAAACTGTTGCATCAGATTAAGGGGCCATTTCCTCCATGATAATATAAATGATCAGCACCACGATTATTAATAACTTGGATATAATAAGTTACTGCAGGTTTTTTAAATGTTTGCACCACACCTAATCATATACCATAACTGCCCCTCCACAAGATAGGTTTTCCAGAAACACCAATTGAACCACACTAGTCGGATCGGTAAGTTCAGATCTTTGGGAATTAATGGACTAAGAATCAATCAAATGTCCTTTAAAATATCTAGAGTTTTGACATCTAAACTTCAAATTTCCTAAGCAGAAACAACAGACAATCAAAACTAGATCAAACCAAAAACTCTGCCCACGCTGCACCCCGAGGGAAGAAATCTAAACCAATAAAAATGAGATCAAGTTATAATTTTGGTTGCTTCAACTTTGACATAGATACTCAACTATCATATTGATAGACTCACACCACTAGTTTAGGACTTTTTCAAGTTCTCAAAGACTGACTAATTTTTTACCTTCCAAACAACTGACCCAAAGCTCACCTGACAGAGTCAACTATGGCAATCTTGTTTACAATATTAAAACTGCTATTATAGATCTTGTGATCAGCCATTAATGTTGACTATCATATAGATACACCTTACAGTGAAAAAAATATTGGAAAAACCTATTGTGTGAGCCAAACATTGCTCTCCCAACCTCCTACAAATAAGTGAGCAGAGATGCTATCTATTGCTTGTCTGCAAGAACTGACATGTGAATGCATAAACTTACTCTTGAAGAAGACTGCAAGCATTTACAAAGTCCTCAACAGATGAAAATGTAACTCTTAATATGTATATGAGGTAATAGATATGGAGAGAAATTGTTCGGTCTCCCTTATTTGGAAATAGAGAAAAGAAGAGAAGATAAAATATCACTCAATTTCTTTTTCTTAACCTACTGTTAAGATATCTCCAAAAGTAGAGAGATTTGGAGTTAAAGAAAACTGGCAAATAAATTTACATAGACAGTAACTACTTCAACTACTCTGCAGTTTTAAACAAGTTGAGTATATGCTTCACTTTCCCATCCATTAGACACAAATAAAACAGCACAAATTCAAGTCACCCGAACAGTGAGATCACACAAAATAATTTAACAACGACCATATCTAAATTACAACCCTAACCATTTTTAAGCATATCATTTGCAAGATAATATTCACTTTAGTGTCTAGGATGTGTAATTATTTTAGTCACCGCTTCATGTTTATAGTTCTGCATATAGTCAAAATGATTAAATAGACATCAGGAAGGCAATACAGACATCTAGCCCTGACAACAAACTAAAGCAAGAAGTGGTATCATTAGAGGAACTATACTTCTTTTGCATAAAACCTATTCAATCCCAGCCACTGAACCTACAAATAACCTTCTGCCATTTGAGGCTGAATCAATGACCCATGAAAAATCAAACTGACAGATAAAGTATAATATGGTTGTAATTTCTCATATCACTGATTATAATACATTACCTGTGTCTGGTTTTCAGGATATTGCACCTCTTCTGCTCTAGGTACTTGATTTACAGGCATTGAATCAACACCAAATGTTTGTGATGTTCTGGAGCCACTAACATTGGACATATTCAACCCCCCCGTTGTGGAAGAAGTGCTCCTTCCATCATTTAATTTCACCATTTTCGACGGCCGACTTATTGCTTCTGAAGGATAGTGAACCATGTTTAATTTCTCTGAACAGCCAGGTGTTATTGAGGGACCAGGCTGTTATTAAAAAAAAAAAATGGTAAAAACAAGTGCTCTACTAATCTGAAAAACATACAGTCTAGCTGCTACATACTCAAGAAGATCACAAGAAGGGCTGGTATTTGTTTCATGGAAAAGGAAGGACAAAGAAGGGGCACAGATCCAACATTATGTTCAACAAATAGGAAAGAGAACATATGCTGTTCAAGGGAGACCACTCACTCTTTCTAGTTATTTTGAGTGCATGTGTGTCAGAGAGAGAGAGAGACTTTCTTAGTGCCTGACCTGAATTCAGTATCTCTCAGGGATTTGACTAATTGAATAGCAAAATGGCGGACTAACTAATTCTTCCTGTTAAATATTCAAAACATGCTACCCTAAAAAGTAAGAGATCTGATAAATCATGGGACTAAAAATTCTTAAATTACAAATCCAGTGACTTGATGACTTCTCTCAAGAGAAATAGCCTAACTATGAAGTACCAAAGCAGAACTCATTCCGAAGATGCATACTTGTAAACAACTAAAACCATTACTAAACCTTCTCTATTGGCATGTACTAGCTCAAGCTGGTGAAAGAAGCATTTGCACCTGAAAGCCAGCATCTGGCAAGGGAGGATGAGGCAAAGGGGCTGACTGCATGACTGCATTTGGCAGAACCAACCGTGTGCTGTGACTTAAATTAGCACTTGCAAGCTGTCCTGAGTGTGGCAATGATGGCTGCACCTGCTGGTTAAAAGATGAGGAATTTGCCACCTGAATTTGAGGTCTAACAGAGGGATTTGTGGAAGGAACTGTGGGAACTACAGAATGTCCAGCAGCTGGTGGTAGAACATGATTGCTGGAATGTTGTGGAAGCTGCATTCGAGGCTGCAAAGTTGATTGTAGGGTTGCAGAAAATTGGTTGTGAGCTAAAGAATTATGAGGCACAGCAGCCAATTGACCTTGTACTTTTGGGATTAAGCCAGTCTGAACTTTCTGGGGAAGAGTTTGTGCTGTTGGCTGCTGACTGTGCTGGCCATCTTGTAATGAAGTCTGTGTTAGTTGACCTGGAGGCTGTTGAATGTTTGGCATCTGCAACTGCAAAATTTAATGAAACAAACAATCTTTATGTCACACAATGGCAAAGCACTGACCAACCAAGTAACAAAATTCTTGGAGACAATGCAATGTACCACTTGGGGGGTGACCATTCCTAGCATTATTTGTGCCTGAAAAGCAAAGGCAAAGATGTAAGGCCAAATCTATATCTTTATTATAAATAAAAGTAGCTTAAAAGGTGTAAAACTTCTGTAAAGACCACTATGGTACTTCCATTGTAAAGGTATTTCCATTATCATTCGGTTATAGAAACAATGTCTCTTAACAAATACCACCTGCTACTCTTTTTACTCGCATAGAGAGCATTGTTAAAATTCCTCTCTAGAGATAACATTGATGACAAATTTGAGAGATTATAGCTGAGATGAATACCAGTTTAAACTTGTAAAAAGTAACCCCATCTAGTGCTTTCTTCATGTAGCTTATAAAACATAAAAAGGCTAGATTTTATAGCAATAAATTCAATTCTTTTTGGAATTTAGAATACTAAGAATATTTCAAGATTAAGGGACTATATATGAAAAATTATGAGATGAAATTACAATATCTTCGATAAAATATTATCTCTTTGTATTTCCTTTTGAAGAAACACGAAACAATGAAAATTACCTGAAAAATAGCTTTCAGCAACTGAGGTTTTGCAAGCAATAGCTCACGAGCTAGTTCCTTATTTTGTGTGGCCATTTTCTGTCAAGAAAAGATATAAAGACACATCATTAGTTGAAGAGATGGAGCAAAGCTCTGTAAACTGCATGTGTTGCTCAAAGCATACCTTCAGCGCAGACATAATTTCATTCAGTTGGCTCCTAGACATTTTGGCAAGATGGAGCGTTAAGGGGTCACTGGCCGGTGCTGGCTGACTCGGCAAAGCACTTTGATTAGGCTGCAGACCAGCCTGAGCACCACCAAGAGCTCCAGCCATGAGAGCTGCAGCAGTTATAGCTAAATGGAGACCAATAGGCTGCTGGTGAACAGATTCCCCATGGGCTGCTGGGCCTCCTACTTGTTTTTGAGGGTCTGTGATGTGTCAGTTAAATTAAAAAAATTAGGTTATATTCCTAAAGAGACATAAATACTAACCAACATTTGTTGCCAGTCCAGGTCCACCACGACCCTGAAACAAAACGAAATTCACTTATTATAGCTTATAACCAAAAACTTCATAAAATCAGAAAATCAAGATCAAATCATAGGAAAACCATTTCACTGCAGAAGTTGTACCATATTGAGCAGTAGGATAAGGCATGTGCATGTGCTTTGTTGCATGAAATAAGCCTCAGGGCCACCCAGGTTATTAAACAGAAAGTCACTTTTTTGGTTACTATGAGGAATGGCAGTAGGCTTGTTCTCCAATAGATGGTTAAAGCCAAATGATAAAGTTTCACAGTTTTGCTAGGCTCAGGCAGTCACTATAGTATTTACAAACATATCCATGAGTGTAAATCTCAGCCATACATATACATAAATGTAGATTACTTTATCACAATTTTCATTTTGCTCTAAATTCACATTAACAGTCTAACCCAGATGGTCTTTCCTAGATATAATAATTATCTCTTTCTTTGAGAAGGAATATTGATGTGGGTGCATTGCAACAAGTTCAATGTAATTTTCATTCTTCCTATATATAACGACTGTTCTCTCCTTCTTTGACAAGGGATGTTGATGTGGGGACATTCTATCAAGTTTGTTGTAGTTTTTCTTTTTCTAATAAGTGCAATTGTTAATAGCAATTGAAATATATTCCCAATTAAAATAATAATCATACAGGAATTTTGAAAATCTAAAACCTTATAATTGTAATATGAACTGTATCAAACAATAGACACACAAGAGCAGGCATCCTTTTATATCATCCAACAAGTTGAAGTAACTTTCATGCATCAGAGGCTAGGTGTTAGCATCAAAGTTTTGCATAGATAATCCATAAGTGCCAATTTCAGATAAACAGTCATCACATAGGAAACATAGTGAGCCAAGGTAACTGGAATTACTGGATAAAAATACAGAATGAGTGGCTGAGGGAGGAGGGAAATTGGGTTTATAGGCATAAATTAATTCAATTAAATGACCAAGTACTTCATATCAATAAAAAATAAAATACTAGCTTTATCTACATTTCTTTAGTATCATCACACCCAATGTTCATCTACTCACAGAAAGAACAATGCCAATGCAAGAAGAAACCTACAAAGGTGCCAAATTTATGATTCTGACCAAAACAATAAAAGATGCAGAGAAATCCACAGCTAATTCACCTGTTCTCGATTTCGGTCAGAGCCTTTGTCATTTTCAGCAAAATCAACTCGTAATTGCCGGCCATTGATCTCATAACCTTGAAGATTTCGTCGAGCGCTTAGAGCTGTCTCCTCATCCTTGTATTCACAGAACCCATAACCTTTTGGTTTGCCAGTTTCTCGATCAATAACCAGTCTGAAATGAAAGAGGGAAATTAAAAATCATGTTATGCAAGGAAATGAGGACACTAAAACAGAAACATGCCTTTGGTACTGGATTGCAAATACTTTTCCAAACATATTTTGTGCAGGAAGTGCGAGAATTTTTTCTTTTTTAACAGTAACGATAAGCTTAACATGTAGAACTCAATTGATGCCACACACACAAGCAAAAATAAAAAATATTTTGCAATGCTTTTGTCATGGAAGGCTTAAGGCCAAGTAAGCATATAATTATGAGGTGAACTCAGGACAAAAAAGCAAATTAGTGAGTTCAGAACAACTTGGTCAAATTGATTTGGACTCTATCCTCTGAACTATCACACACTTAACTTTATCTCTGTCAAACATGCGGTTAATATGCTGCCATAAGCCTGTGCCATTATCATAATTCTTTTTCATTGTTACCTATGGGTTCCAAATTATCAATGTTGACACAAAAGGATAGCTTTCCTAACCTTAACATGTAATCTAGATCAGCAAATAATCCAACTGGTACGAAGCAGTTTGATCTAAAGGCAATTTCCAGTCAAATAATCTTCCTCAATTTCTATATTTGAACTTATGAAATCTCAACTTAATGTAAATAAAAATTCCTTCTGTAGATATTTCATAGTTCATGCACCCAATTTTATTTTACAAAGGGAGTTTGTGTGTATCTGCCTGCATGTTTGCTGAAGAGTATGAGCTTTATGCCATGTTCTTCATTAACTTAAATCCCATCATATGCCTCAAAGGTGGTAAAAGATTTTAACTTCTCAACAAGTCATATCTTCATAATTTCACAATCAAATATTTGGCGCAACAATCACTATCATATATGCGACCAAGCGACTAAAGCAATGAAAACAATTATGCAGTTCAGTTTGCTAAAAATAGCTTCGCATTCACTACCAACACTTGCTTCCTGAATAATAACAACAACAAAAAGGTTTAAACTTTTTGTTCACTTATCTAAATTACTAGAAGTCATATCATTGAGCAAATTGAATTTCAATCCCCAGGACTCAAAACTGAAAGTTGAAATATATATATATATATAAGAATCGAAACCTGAAAGAAACAACAGGGCCAACCTCCCTGCAGATTTCTATAAGCTGTTCCTCAGTAGCATCATATGGTATATTCCCCACTGCCACCAAAACAAACAAAATAAATATTAGTACTAAGAATCAGTTAAATTTATAAATCCAAGCAGAAAAAAAAGAAGATAAAATTCCCCTTTGAAATACTACCAATTAACCAATTAACGAATGACAAACAAAAATTCAAATCCTGTGAGTAGTTGTTACAAATTCACAAACATATCCTCAGCAATAAAGACAGAAATAAACAATCCAAAAAATCACAAGCAATAAGAGAGAGAGAGAGAGAGAGAGAGAGAGACCGAAAACGCAGCGATGCTGAGAAGAGGCCATGAAAGAGCGGAGGAGGGAAGGGAGGGGGGGAATCAATAGGAGAAGAAGGTGAAGCGGCGCCGCTGCTTCATCTTCTTCTTCCTCCACATCGCTCTTGTATCTTGTTTCTTCTTGTTTGAATTGAATTATATGACTAGAGAAGAGTTGTTTGCGTTTGTCTTAAAGGAATTCAATGGGTGGAGCAAGTGAATTCGTTCGTCGAAAGATTTGGTTTTCTCTCGTCTCACTGGTTCTGGTTCTGGTTCGGGTTTAACCAAGGAAAGAAACAAAGATTTGGTTCGCTTTTTCTCTCTCTCAAGTCTTGACTGAGAAAATTTCAACCCCAAAGCAACGCTAAGCTCCCAGTTTTATAAAACTCTAATATTATTATTATTATTATTTTCATTTTTTTACTTATCCTAAAGTATAATTTAATCATTTTTATTTTTTTAATCTTCAATTATTTAATGAGAAGTAAACTTGTTTAATTTTATAAATTTACAAACTTTTTTTATTTTATAAATTTTATTTTAACTTTTTTTTATTTTTTTCACATTCGTTTTAAAAATTGAAAATGTGATTTTTTGGCCAAACTTGAAAAATGTTTTACATACGAAGTAGAATTATGAGAGTAATTATTGAGGTATGTGATCGCATAAGATGAGGTACGTCGTACGGTGACTTTGACTATAAATAATAAAATCATTGCACAAGTAATTCAAATATAAATATATAAATCAAATGTTAATTCGTATTAGACTTTGACTATTAAAAATTCCTTTAAAAATAATGAATTAATAACACTCACGTGCATTATAAATTCAATTATTTGATAAATCTTTTTATGGGTATAAATTTCCAGTTTAATTTTATTAAATAATATTATAACAATTTAATTTGATGGGTTATTTTAACTTTAAATGGAAACTTGACATAATCCAAAACATATGATCATGGTGTGAATTTTAGGGGGAAATAAAAGAAAGAAAAGGGACAAACTGTATGATTAGCTAATTGATTCTGATATAATATTTTCACCTTCTGCTCAAGCAGTCACTCACTCCAACTCTCTCCCTCTTCTCAATCTACATCTAAAACCTTTGTCATTCAATTCCCTTTTTTTTTTTATTTTTTTCTTAAAATTATATAATTAATTTCTATATTTTATAAAAATAAATCTAATTTTTACAAATTATTTATGTAAATTAAATTTTCATATTTTTTTAATTTGTTAATTTCGATCAAATCCTAGCATTATTACATTTTTATCGATAAATAAGATGATGTGTGATATTTTGAACAAATTGACATGTCATGTCATTGATTGAGATGACACTATATATTTTTTTTGTTGATATAATGTTAACTATGTGCTGACATATATTTATTGTGCTGAAGTGGCTTTAATTGAACTGATAATAAATTATATTGATGTGGCATTCCTTGGTTCTTACCTCTTGAGTCTTTTTTTTATCTTCAATTCGAGATTTTTTTCCCCTTTTTCAATTCTTAATTCAAAACTAATCACAATTTTCCTTCGACCAATTTGATTGTTTTCATAATCTGTTTTATTAATTTAAGGTTAGGGTTTTTTTTTTATAAAATTTGGAGTGTCTAGTCGATTGGTAGCCATGTCATGTTATCACAAACAAGTTGTCTGTTCAAATAATGGAATATAAACATGATCAATGTTATGTCAACACATAATTAATAACACGCCATCTCAATTAATGTCATGTTAACTTGATCAAAAACACTAAATTAAACTTAAAAAATAAAACTTCAACAGTGATAAAGTTTGGACTAAAATTAACAAATTAAAAACATACAAAAACTTAATTTACATAAATTATTATATGAACACTAAATTCATATTTTTACGGAATACAGATATAATTATATAATTGGACCCTACTTTTTCACTTTAAACCCAACCAATTACCCAATTCCCATACAAAATTAGAGCAACCCAAAATTGTCGACAGGCATGGAAAGAGATTCCTTTCGGCCATATGATAACATTTTGTAAGGCTTTTTCACTTAAATGAATTGTTTAAGGTAGGCCTTCATTCTCATTGGCTTTGGAAACAAAACTGTATGATTAGCTAATTGATTCTGATATAATATTTTCACCTTCTGCTCAAGCAGTCACTCACTCCAACTCTCTCCCTCTTCTCAATCTACATCTAAAACCTTTGTCATTCAATTCCCTTTTTTTTTTTTATTTTTTCCTTAAAATTATATAATTAATTTCTATATTTTATAAAAAATAAATCTAATTTTTACAAAATTATTTATGTAAATTAAATTTTCATATTTTTTTAATTTGTTAATTTCGATCAAATCCTAGCATTATTACATTTTTATCGATAAATAAGATGATGTGTGATATTTTGAACAAATTGACATGTCATGTCATTGATTGAGATGACACTATATATTTTTTTTGTTGATATAATGTTAACTATGTGCTGACATTATATTTATTGTGCTGAAGTGGCTTTAATTGAACTGATAATAAATTTATATTGATGTGGCATTCCTTGGTTCTTACCTCTTGAGTCTTTTTTTTATCTTCAATTCGAGATTTTTTTTCCCTTTTTCAATTCTTAATTCAAAACTAATCACAATTTTCCTTCGACCAATTTGATTGTTTTTCATAATCTGTTTTATTAATTTAAGGTTAGGGTTTTTTTTTTATTAAAATTTGGAGTGTCTAGTCGATTGGTAGCCATGTCATGTTATCACAAACAAGTTGTCTGTTCAAATAATGGAATATAAACATGATCAATGTTATGTCAACACATAATTAATAACACGCCATCTCAATTAATGTCATGTTAACTTGATCAAAAACACTAAATTAAACTTAAAAAATAAAACTTCAACAGTGATAAAGTTTGGACTAAAATTAACAAATTAAAAACATACAAAAACTTAATTTACATAAATTATTATATGAACACTAAATTCATATTTTTACGAAATACAGATAGTAATTATATAATTGAACCCTACTTTTTCACTTTAAACCCAACCAATTACCCAATTCCCATACAAAATTAGAGCAACCCAAAATTGTCGACAGGCATGGAAAGAGATTCCTTTCGGCCATATGATAACATTTTGTAAGGCTTTTTCACTTAAATGAATTGTTTAAGGTAGGCCTTCATTCTCATTGGCTTTGGATTCTGTTATTTCTTTACTTTGTTTCCTGCTGCCATAACAAATATGTTGCCATCATGAAGGAATTGCAAACATTACTTGGTGCTGAGTTATGACTTTCCACCCTCAAAGAAGGAACTGATGACTTCCTGTTTTATAACTCAGAAGGATCTTGTCCCCTCACTTAGCTGTACAGTACTAAGTAGATGTTCTGTGGAGGATGGTCTAAGTTTGGTGAGGACAATGAGCTCATACAAGATGACTGTCTCTTTCAATTACTTGGCCCCAAAGACATCCAAAAGTCAGCTCTTAGTAGTAATATTCTCTATTTTTGAAACCAAAAAACATTGAAGACAATGAACCCATACTCCTATATTTATTTCTGATGACAAGCCTCCTCAATAGAAACAGGAGGATCAGAGAAAGAGCCATTAAGAATGCGATTTGCAACCCACAGGTTGGCTGCCTCAGTGAAGTGTATGCCATCCCAACTAATGTGCCTTGATGGGTGATTACATGAACTACCATGAACTGTTCCATTAACTTTTTCCCCACAGTCGACATGGTGCCCATGGCATCCATAGCTGCCACAGCACAAATCCAATGGATCAACGTATCCTGCAATCACCAAAACCATGCCAGTTAGATCAGCAATCACATTGCCAATCACTTAGTTTGCTGTGTAACATTTTGTTTTTTGGACAATTACCTTGATTTTAATTTGGCATATAATATCATCTACATAACATGTAACATCATTAAAGATTCAATTTGACTAATAATAATTACAATTATATAAAATAAATTATTTTTTAAACATCCCATCTTTGAGTTTTATTTTTTGAAATGCCTTAATTTAATTGGTTGATTATTGAGCTGAAGCGGAAACTTGAGATGCCTATACGTGAGTCAAATTGCTTCAGGTTACCCTTTCCTATGTTGATTTGCCACTATGAAATTGGTAAAGAAAACCCCCTTTTTTTTTTTCTCTGTACAAACTTATTTAAATTTTGGAGCAAGCAAAACTATTTTGCATCCCGGAGCAATGAACACTAGTTGGAGATAAGAGTTTGCTGACAGCTAATTTCAGTTAATTGCTTCAGAATAACTTGTTACAGTAAAGCAGAAGATATAAACATAAGACTACTCACTAAAATGGAATCCAGACACATAAGGGATTCTAGTAGGAAATATAAAATACCTACAACCCTGCTTAGGCCAACACTTCTTCCTTTACATTCAAAGTTAATGTGAGACATTAAACTATTTATTGTCAAAATGTGGAGTACTACGCAATAATTTCAGCAACCTCCCAGTAGAACATAATGACAAAACTTCCCATGTACATATATCTTCATGAAGAGATAGATCTCCCTAGAATCCTAACGGTTCCTATTAAGAACCATAAGATAGCACACAAAGCACCTAAAATAGATATGAAAAAGAAACCCCTATTACCGCCTGTCCTCCTTGCAGTTGCAGCACCATTAACTGCAGAAACAGCAGTGTTTCTAGCATTTAATCTCAACCTACTGAAGCTAGACATTCGCTCCAATGCCCGATTTACCAAAGGATTCTCAGCTGCAGAAGCAGGAGTAGTAGGTATTGACTCCACAAACGACCACAAAGCAGAAGAAAACCTGCTTGGGCCACCTCCGTTTTCGTCACCTTGGTCTTGATTATTTCCATTGTATATCAGACCTAAACATGAGCAAAATTAACCACATATAAGCAAAATTTTACAGTTAAGCAGTATTTGAGAGAGCAGCTTTTCCTATGACAAAAATGAGTAGAATATTGGAATCCTAATCACTTTAAGTACTATAAATGAAATACTTGTATCAAAAAATCTCTTAAAGCAGGCTTAATTTCCCCTCTTTACAAAAGGCTTTTGCCATGTGGACTTTGGCATGTCTACCAAACCATCCATCTGATCAAGAGCTCTGCAAGGATGGGCTAAGACAGCAACTTTGTCCAAAACAAAAGCATAGCTCAGTGAATGCAAACTTGTTCTACCTGAAGTTGGAGCAGCATTCCCAAGATTTGATCCTGATGGAGTGAAGACATCACTGCTCTGATCATGTGTCCAAAGTGGTCCATTAATCTGATCCAGTTGAATTAGTTGATCCAGCTCATCTCCAACAGACTGGAACTGCAACTGGTAATCCACCTGGGCCACATTTGAATGGGGTAACAACTGCTGATCTATCAGGTTTATATTTGAACAGGATTGAGATTGATTACCCACCTGATTTAACATATTATCCCCAAAGGCATTCAACTGAGGCTGCAACCGCTGATTATCCCCAGTGGCATTCAACTGAGGCTGAAAATGCTGATTAACCCCAAAGGCATTCAATTGCGGCTGCAACTGTGGATCCATCAGATTAATATTTGATTGGAGTTGCAATTGCTGATCCATCAGGTTTAAATTAGACTGGGTTTGCAACTGCTGCTCCATCAGGCTTATATTTGATTGGGGTTCCAGCTGGTAACTTACCTGATTTATCATATTATCTGTATATGAGAATGGAACTGCTCCTTGATCTATAGGCCCCATGTCCTGTAGAAACATGGCTGCATCTTGGAACAGATCAAATTCACTCAGTCCATCCAACTCATTGAACTGCACGTTCTCTGCAGGTTGCCCAACATTGGGGGTCAAAGTTTGAGGACCACTGAGATCGTCAATTTCTAGGAAACCCTCCTCGCATATTTGAGGTACCTGTCCAAAGTGGTCAGCAACAGATGTGACCTCAGGTGCCTCATGCAAATGAGAAGTAGGTGACTGGGAGAATTCAAAGCCTGCCTGCTCATGGCAAACCCCAATTGGTTCAGGAAAGATAACACCCCTTGGAGACGGGTCCAGCAAAGTACTTTGTGTCTCTTCTTCACTGACAACCTGTGGCAACGCATAGCCAGATTGAGCTTGTGGCAGTGGAAGTGCAGGCTCATCAGCTAATTGTCTCATAAACTCCTCAATATCATTTAATGCAGACTGAACTTGACCATTTGCTTTTACATTATCATCAGGAATGGCCTCATTAGGTAGCTTCACAGGGGTGACTGTAACAGGGTTACTAACATATTCCTCCTCAGCCCATTCTTCTTCTTTAAATGGTGCCCCATACTGCTCACCATTTTTAGGGCCAGGTCCACTTTTTTTGTACACTTTATAGAGAGCATAATAGTCCTGAAATCCAAAAGAGAAATCCAGAATTAGTAAACAGCACATATACAGGAGGACAAGTTTCTTATGAAATTCTTAATCTGCATACCTTCATGTTCTGGCATCTCTTGAGTTCCTCCTCATCAAGGGTATACTCATGCATCACCCAATCAGTTCGCTCACCATTAGGCGCACGCCCTTTGTAGAAAACCAAAGTTTTCTTCACGCCAACTACCCGAGAATTACAGGTAATAGTACGATCCTTTCCTGTTGCCTTCCAATACCCTTGTCTGGTTGCCCTGTTTGACCTTGCTCCGTTAGGGTATTTCCTGTCTCTTGGACTGAAAAAGAACCATTGTCTGTCCCCACTCTTCAGTATCGATTGTGCTGTTTATCATTTTTTTTGTTCATTAGAAAATTGATAATGCAACCAAATAAAGCAAAATCAAAAACTCGAAACCAACAAACATAATCTACTGCTAAACTTTTTCAAACGAACAATCCAACTAAAACAGATAGCATCAAGAGCCTAAAATGGGAACAAAAACAAACCATTCTTGTTCTATAGAAACATCAAGATATTTGAAAACTTCATCATTGATCCCCTACATCAATTTTCATAGACCATATCAATCAGAGGTTAAAAATTAAACTTAGCTTTCAGATAAACAAAAGCTCCAATGTCTTAGATGACTAAACAAACACTTAAAAGTAAAACCAATCCCAAACAGAAAAACAGTGATTTTCAAATAACCAAGAGAATATCAATCAAGCCACACCAATTAATTGAAAGCAAACCTAATGATATCTCTCCATATTGAACGGTAAACTGCCAAAAGCCACCCAAAGGAAACATTTTAGTGAACACACCCAAATAAACATACTTAAACTGCCAATAGCCAAATAATATTAGACGTATTGAACCATAAGCATAAACTGCTAATAGTGAAACATACCCAATTAAACATTCAAGGGAAACATACCAACTGCAAAGAGCAAGAATATAGTTATTTTTGTTAACCAACACAAACATAAAAACATCAAAACCAATTTAATCAAGCAATTACAAAGGCAAACAGAGATACAGCATAGACATATCGAGCCGTAGGCTGCCAATACCCAACCAAAAACAAACAGAATTCTGATATAAACCCACAACTCTTAAATGGTAGTATGGAACGTGAATAAATCATACACGACAACACAATTTTATAACCCATGTCATCCAAATCAATTTTTACACTTGGGATTGTCATCAAAATCATCCAATAACCAACAAAATGGGAACAAAATAAACAAACAAACAGTCCAATTAATGTGCAAATCAAAGTCAACGCAAGCCCAGGATATTCTCAAATGAATAAGGAAAATTATGCAACAGCAATTTGCGTATAGAAAAATCAATAGCCAAAGAACCCTCAGGATACAAACACATTAAAAAGCAAACGAAGAACAGATCAAATCAAAACAAACCCCCTCAACCCAACCCAAAAAAATAGGCAATTCGATCAAAGTAAAAACAAAGTCAACGCAGCAAATCAACACCCTTAGTACTTGTAGGTCGAAAAATAAAGCCGCCATAATATGAGTTAAACCAACAAAATGAAAACATGTAACCAGAAAACCCCACATCAGGAATCAATAATTAACCAAAATTTCAGGGCAAAACGAAGAGAGGAAATATTACCAGGCAACTCCTCAGGATCCCACTTGTAAACATCAGTTTCCCTTATGATATCAAGCTTGAGCTTTCTTCTACAGATCTTCCTCTTTAAATAATAAAGAACCAGCTCTTCATCAGTAGGGTGAAACCGAAACCCCGGGGGCCAAACTTGATCGTCACCCAAACACGAATCCGCCGCCGCCGCCGTCACTGTCATCTCTCTTGATAATAAAAAAAAATTCCTCTTTTTTTTCACAAAATAAACAAAAAAACTCAGAAACCTAACTGATCAACAACCCTAAAAATGATACAAACAAGAACAAAATTTTAAAACAAGAAATTTAATTTACATGGAGAGCTGATATTAGGATAAAAACCCTTAGAAGAGGTACAGAGATAATTGCAGTCAAAGAAAGAAATGTGAAGGGGAAATAGCTAGGAGTGGTTGGACTGAGGACTTTTATAGCGAGACTTGGTTCCTAAAAACCGGGCTGGTTCGGACCGGTGGGTCCAAACCCAGGCACTGCTGATGTCGAAACTGAGTGCCTCACATTAAATCCCTGAAAGGTGTGGTTACTCGGAAATTTCCTTTCTTTGAAACTATGAAAGTGTATGACGGCTCACCACCAATCTGACTGCTTACCTTTTATATTATTATAGCATTAAAATTTTAGAAAAAGCCTAAAAATTACATTTTTTTAACAGAATTTATTAGATAAATCTTTAGTTATTAGTTCATTGTATTTATTAAAATTAGAAATATATATAATTAAAATTATCACGTGAACATGTATGACGTAGTCAATATAACAATAATTATCATGTCACTTCTCCAAAAAAATAAAATAATAATTTTCATGTCAAATAAATGAACAATATAAAGCTTTACATGTTTACATGATAATTTTTAATTTTGTGTGGCTCCTCGATTTTAATTTTTTAAAAAATATTTAAAAATGAATTATAATGAAAAATATTTTTATTGAGTTATCTAAATAACAAAAAACTATTTTTATTTTATTATTTAAATAATTTAAAAATATTAAATTTGCCATTAAAATATTTTATACAAAAAAATTTTTCCTTCACCAAATTGTTTTCTTATCATCAAATGAAACCTTAATAATATCCCCATTTCATATAAATTCAATAAATCTGATTATTAAATGCATGTAAGAAAAAACCAATTACCCAATAAAATAGTAAAAGTAGCATTTATTATATAATACAATTAATATAGGTTATAATATAGAATGATTTGATATACAAATCAATCTTTTTTTTTTTTGGTTATCTTTTTACAATCTTATCATGTTTTTTATTATATATGCTAACATAACATGAGAGGCACGTGTGAAAAAAATAATTTTATAAGAATATTTGTCTACATAAATGATTAAAAGTTTATCAAATGTTTTGCAATTATGTTTTGGTTCATAGTTTTGTAGTTTTTTTTTTTTTAGAAAAAGAATGAATTTAAAGGGAGAAATGAGAAAGTAGAGAGTTACTCAATTGACACTTTCAAAAGTTAAGTTCAAATTTGGACTTGAACCTTCATTTAAATTAAATTTATTAACAAAATATTCAAAAAATTATATTAATATTTTAACATTTTTAAATATATTTTAAAAATAAAAATTAGTTTATTAATATAATAATATTTGGGATTGAGCTCGATCCCAAAAACCATGTAACAATGAGAAAGAGCATTAGATTAAATATAAAGATGGTTAAGAAAAATGAAAAATAAAAACACATGAATTTAGTTTAAAGATTGTTAACTTCTTTAAAAGAATAAGTAATTTCTGGATGATAATGTAATAATTTAAACTATAATCTTACAAAGAAGAAGCATTTGCACCAAAAAAGAAGGACCAAAGTTTATTAATAAAAACAAAGTTAATTTATATTTAATTAATCTAAAAAATTGAGGGATTTAAGAAGAGAAATGAGTATATATATGGTGTCTACGGATCGAAATAGACTCAATTAACATTTTTAAAATTCAGATTTGAATTCAAATCTAAATCTCACCCCATTTAAATTAAACTTATTATTAAAAATATTTAAAAATTTATATTAATATTTTAATTTTTAAAAAAAACCTCAGAAATAAAGAAAAAGGAATTATGTACAACATATTTAGGTATAAAATGGAAAGGAAGGTTCCCTTTATGAACAAAATTCAATCTCATTTTGCCTACTTATTTATAACAAGCTTTGTCTAATGGTAGAGGTTGTCAACCCTTGAATGATAATTGACTAAGCCTTTTTCCCTTTTTTTTCTTCCTTTTTTCACATGAATGATTATTTGATTAGCTCCTTTCTTAAAGAGTTTGCCCTATTCATGCATTGCACGGAGGGTTGAACAAATTGGAACTTTCTCTCCCTTCACATCGGTCAATGCTTTACAATAGGACTTGGAAACCATCTCCTCTTATTACTTGCTTCAGTCTTTGGAAAATCTTAACTTTCTTCTTTTCTAAGAAAGATGAGGATGCAACTTTTCAAATAAACTAGAGAGTGACCCATGCGTTACTTTTGGGATATATCTTATAAACGAAGCATTATAATAAATTTTGATTTGATAGTAATTAAAATAATATACGTAAAAATAATTTATTTTACAAAGGATGTCTTGTTTGTTAATTTAGTCAAGCAGCTACCAATTTATAAATGAAAGCAAGAAACTATTTAAGTTTATTACATGATTTCATAAGTAATTGCCATGGTTATAGAGTTACCTAATCGGACACATTGCATCATAAGTAATTCCAAAATATATTTCATTTCGATTTTTAACTATAGATTAGTCTCCTCTTATGTTAACAAGAAGAACGATGTTCTTTTTAGAACCAAACGATTATAAATGAAGTAACCAAACATTGATCCGTTAACAAAAATGAAAGATTATGTACAAATAATATGAATAATCTTCAACATTAAACCAAATATGACACAAGTTGGTTAATACATTTAGGAGAAAAGATTTCGGCAATATATTTCAAACTTATTTCATATTTATAGATATTTAACCTTTTTTTTAAGAATATATAAATAAAAAGGTAGGTTATTGAAAAAACAGTATGAAAAAAAAATAAAAACAACGAATTCATTAAAAAAAAAAAAAGAATGCTCGATGACTGTGAGAGTACAAATGTTGATTATAAAAGCATTCAATATCTATTTAAAAGATAAAAAAGAACAAAAGAAATAGAAGAAGAGAGTAATAATAAGCATAATTATTATCAGGAAAATAACACAATCACAATAATTAAATATTTGTCAATTGGGAGCACTAAATGTCAACCAATTGCTCCCTTCAAGGGAGACTTTTAATAAATAAGTATAGAGTTGGGTTAAGTTGACATCTCTAAAAACAATTTTTAAAATTAATCATATTAATCATTTTGTATAATTTATGTAATATTTTTTTGTATTTGTATAAAAAATTTTATTACTATCGTATTTATGCAAACCGATTTACTTGCTACATCCTTAAATTAAGGATATACAAAATCATTATTGGGTAAGAAAAAATGCTAATCTTATATAGGGTAGAGTAGTTGGTTAGTTCGGATGAAAAAAACTCAAAAATTGATGGAATAGATTTTGGGAGAGAGAAAATTGACTAACTAAGCATTGTAGTATTATTTAACATAAATGAATTGACCACTATTTAGTTGTTCAAGTCAATTGGTCAATTTGTAAACCTTTTCAAAAATATTAAATAATATTTTAAATTTTTACAACATATTTTTTAAAAAAAAGATGAATAAAAGTATTATTAGTTAGCAAAAATAAATTGTATTCCACAATCACAATAGTATAAATTTCACAACAACAAAAAAAAATTATGCATATTTATATGTTAGCTTTATTAACTTTAAAATGACTATAGCTTTGAAATGACAAAAATGATCAAAATTGCTTCAATGATTTTTGAACTTATTTGATTGATCTTTGAACTTGTTTGAATAAGGTTTTGAACTTATTTGAATAGTTTTTAAACTTGTAAGTTTTGAAGTGCTTAAGTGTTTCCATGTAAAAAGTTTCAAATTACTTGAATAAGTTTTAAAATTGCTTGAATTATTTTTGAACTTGTTTAAATTAGTTTTAAACTGCCCTCGCATTTGCTTTTGAAATGTCTAAATATTTGGCATCAAATTAGATTTAAAAAGATGAATTTTCAATGTTTTAAGCTACAAATATCGATACTTTTGCATTGGGTATCGATACATTTTACATAGAATACTTATAAATGCAAGGTATGGATACCTTATGAAAAGTATTAATATCTCGACCAAATGCATCAATACCTAGTGAAACGTATCGAAACTTGCGGTCCAGAACTAGTTTTTAGACACGAAATTAAAAAAAAAAAACAATTAGTTTCTTCACTAAATCATTTTCAGCGATTCTAAAGCCTTTTCCAACTATAAAAAAGACTACTCCAACACATTTACAATATTAGAAGAATGAAGAAAAGGATCAAATATTCAAGAATCATACTTAACTTATCTTCTAGATGTATCCTTGCTACTCAATGTTGTAAGAAAGTAAAAGGTTACACCTTAGCTTTGAAAAGGTAGTATTGAATCTTGAAAAGGTAATGGTTATAGTTAAACCTTTAAAAGACATTGTATTGAATTTATTTAATAATGGATTAAACTTCTTAGCTTGCTAAAAGAGAGAATATAAGCACCTATGAAATGAGTCGATCTTTTATAAATTCTTTGTGTCCTTTCTTTCTACTTTTTACTCTTTGAACTTGTGCATTTCACCTTTAAGAAGTTTTGAAAATTTTGTTTACAATTTACTTATTAATTTGTTCATCGAATTAATTTTGGCTTACTTTCAAGTAAAAATAAATTTGAGAAACTTACTGTTCACTATTTACACTTGTGCATTTTATTTTGAAGAGTTTGGAAATTTTGTTTTCAACTTATTTGTTCATGAATTTGTTTATTAAATTACTTTTGGCATGTTTTAAAGTGAAAACAAATTTGAGAGACTTGTCTTCAAGCTTGTCTTCATTAAAAGTTGAATTTGTTGCAAAATTTTTTTGTAAATCCAATTCATCCTTTTTTGGATATTTTCACATTATTATTGAGCTAACATTTGTAATACCATAAATTCACTACATGTCAACTACATAAGTTACACAACATATTCATAAATTCCACAACGTAGATTTTCGACCAATCACCAAAACCCCATACGAACATCCCTAAAATATTAAAGAAAATAATTATAATTAGTTTAAATTAATGTGTTAGGATAGCCTATATATATTATAATTGAAAACATGTATACTACTTAACAAAAACATTACCTAAAGATTGAAGTAGTTATTGGTCAATACACCTTTTTTTCTAATCAATTAGAGGGTCCAATGCAATCTTTGACAAATCTAACAATACATTAAAGGCATGTTTGGT